TCTTCTTGATGAAAAGGTAAAGCATATTAAAATATTTAAGAATACTCTGCTCCATTCCCACTCCACTTTCAACTTTTTGTTAATTTTTTATTAACTAACTTTTATTAATTGTATTTCTACTTTTAGTGGTACTGTTTTAATGATACAAGAGTATATGTCTTAATTAAAAGTTGCTATATTTTGTTTCACAGTGATTATTTTAAATTCTAGGCCAGGCGGGTGGCTCACACCTGTAATCCAAGCACTTTGGGAAGCCGAGGCGTGCGGATGGTTTGAGCTCAGGAGTTTGAGACCAGCCTGAGCAAGAGCGAGACCCCATCTCTACCAAAAATAGAAAAAATTAGCTGGGCATGGTGGTGCATACATGTAGTCCCAGCTACTCGGGAGGCTGAGGCAGGAAGATCACTTAAGCACAGGAGTTTGAGGTTGCTGTGAGCTAGGCTGACAACATGGCACTCTAGCCAAGGCAACAGAGTGAGACTCTTGTCTCAAAAAAAAAAAAAAATTTTTTTAATTAAAAAAAATTAAATTGTGGATTTTTTAGTTTCAAATAATAGATACACATGGAAAATTTAACTATACAGGTTCACAATTTCCTCTTTGAATCCATTGGAGCAAGATATGAATCAGAATTCAGAATTTTAGAAATTTTACATTAACACAATTCTTAGTTATATATTAAGTAACACTCCCAGCACATTCTGAAATATTATGCTGATTAATATTTCTGCAGAAAAAAAAAAAACAGTGTAAATATTTGAGTTCATATCAGTTCAGGTCAGCTTCTGTGACCAAATATGTTCAGGTCATTGCCTCAAGCACGACCAATCCTGGCACCCGGCACAGAAACTAAATGAAAGGGTGGGCTTGTAACCTCAGCAAACCAATCAGAATCATCCCATATTTCCTACTTCCTGGAGAGGGCTTTTCTGAGAATAAATGAATACAAAGGAAAATAATGGTGAGAGATGGAGGCAGAGAGACATAGCCCTGAGAGAATTTTTAAACCTCAAAGACCACATCTGCCTGCAGCCAGTTCCATCCCTGGACTTATGTTAGGTGAGCCAGTTACCCTCTCTCACTTAACACTGCTTGATTTGGGTTTCTGTCATTTGCAACGAAAGAGTTCAGATAAATCCTATATTTAACACAAGTGATAAGGACTTCTCAATAGGCCAGAAGGAAAACAAAGATGCCTTTCATCAACATGAGTTTGACTTGAAAAGCCAGGAAAAGAAATGCGGTATAACAATTAGAAAAAAGAATAGAGATTAATGTTATTTGCAGATAATACAATGAAAATACAGGAGAATCAATAAATCAAGAGAACTAATAGGATAATTCTTTAAAATCCATTCATATCTCTTTTTCACACACACATACACACACACACAAAATCTAGGAATAAGCTTAATAAAAAAAATATTCTTATGTAAATAAAGAGTCATGCAAATATTTAGCACAAGCCCAAACAGGCAGAGAGAAGAGAAAATTCCAAGCCTCTCAGGTGAGAGCAGCAGAGGCATACCCAGTGTGGCTTCCCCAGAGTGGATGAGGGGGTGTGTAGTAGGTGAGGTCAGAGAGGTAGCCAGGAGGAGTTAGGCCCAAAGCTAAGCCCTGGGACAGAGAGGAAGACTCAGTTCCTACCCCAAGAAGCTTACAGTCACATGAGGGGGCGAAAACAACATAGTAAAATAAAACTTGTAAATCCATGTAAGCACAGAAGCACCTCAGAGCTACATCTACAGCATTCCACACCCCTAAGGTGTTTATGGCATTCAATGGCTCCCTACTATTCCTTAGGTTCAAACCAAAATCTTCAGCAAGGCCTGCATGGTCTGGCTCACTTTCACCATTAAGCTCTCTTGATCTCTGTGCTTTGTCTTGGTGGCTATTGGCCTTCTTCAAGTCCCCTGAACTGGGTATGTCACATTCCTTTCAACCTCAGGGACTATGCATGTGCTGTTAAATCTGCTGAGAACACTCTTACTTAGCACCATCTTGATCTACCGAACTCCTGCTCCTCCTCCAGTCTCTGCTCCCTCGTTTACTCACTGATGCCTTCCTCCACCTTCCTGATTAGGTCAGAGCCCCTCTGTCATGTGTTTCATACCATTCACCTCCCCAGGGTAACACTTAAAATGATTTTATATTTATTTATGTGATTATTTGATTAGCTGGAGTCTTTTCTACCAGACTGTAAGAAGGCAGGACCATATTGTTTTTGTCCCTTATCATATGCCAAATTCCTGAAAGCATGCTTGGCTTACAGTAGAGATTCAATAAATATTTGTTAGTTGGATGAGTCAAGGCAGTTATCTTTACATTAAGATTATGTGTTGTCTTTTTGTTACATTAAACCATAAGCTCCTTGAGGGCAGAAACGATATATGTTTTTACTTCTATCTTCTGCTTTCAACAAAATGCCTACCACATAAAGGCTGAACAAATATCTGTTGACTAATTGGTAAATGAATAAATGGATGCATGAAATAAATGAGCAAATGAGTAAACAAATTAATCTTTTTCCTAAAACCAACTTCTACTTGTGAATTAAATCTCTTTCTGCTTTATGTCATGAGAAAAGGGATTATATGCATATATATATATATACAAAATCAGACCTATAAATGTGATTAATAGTCATCATAATATTTTTTAAAAACAGAAGGAGGAAATAAATTCTAAGAACAAGAAATTATTAGGCATCCACATATTTTTAAAATTCTTGTGAACGGAACAGTATTTTGACAGTTGCTAACATGATTTTTACAAATTCCGTATTTTTTTTCCTTAAATCCATAAGTAAAATGCTAAAATATTCTCAGTGGTCATCTGAATGGAAACCACAAGGAGGGAGACAGTAATTTATCCTCATGTACCATCCGTTCCCCGAAGGCTCTGGAAGCCCACAAATAGGAAAGAAGAGTCAATAGCAGTAGAAAGAAGGAAGCAACAGCTTTATAGAAACAGTTCAGCTTTTGCCAAAAGGAAACTAAGAAGTAGGGCGGGCCCATCATTTATTAAACCACAAATGTATTTTTATTGCCTACTGTGAAAAAGAGCTCTTCAACCTTTGTGAGAAAACACTTCTGCATGACCCTTGAAGTTAGGAGGAAGTCAGGGAAAAGAGAAAAAAAAAGCCCGCAGAGTTCCTTTCCAGGTCTAAGCAATAGCAACACAGAGAGAGAGAGACAAAAGAATAAAGATAAATTGCCAGAGTATTAAACTCTATAAATATTCAGTTTTATCTGAATCCAGAAGATTCCACACATAATATTTTTCTGGGATTCATCAGGTGAATTAAGACTTGCCTTGCACCTAGACGTCTCATAAAACCACTCAACAATGTTGTCTTCATATCATCCAAGGCATAGGTGAAAGATTTAACATTAAAAGTTGCTAAACAATGTTTAAAATTTTATCATTTCTATAAAATTAGTTTTATCCACTTCTTTTTCAATGTGTTCACCTTCAATTTTATAGTTACACCATCTACCCTCCTGAAAACAAGCTTTTCCAGTTAGGTGGAAAACAACTCCATTCACCTGCCATTTCCACACTCCGTCTGGAATAATCTGCTGTGGGCAAATGTTCATTTAAAGCAGCTTTTCTGAACTGCCTGTATTGGGTTATGCTTCTCCAAAGGTTCTGATAAACACTGGCTTCTAAGAAACTGCTTAAAGACACTCCCAAGAGATGTACAGCTAACTGTCCCATAATGAGTCACTTCTCCTAGCCAGAAAAGATATGTCCGCCACATCCATATTTGATTTTCTGGAAAATCTATAGTAAGCTAAGCTTCATGCATGAGCCAGTATAAGCTTATTGAAAGCTTATGGTTTTGCTTTTTGCAACTCATGAGGATTCTCCCATTGCTCTGAGGGGGAAAAAATCCAGAAACAAAGTAATCTGATAAGCTGAGTACATAAATTAAGTGCATGAATTCTTTACAAACAGGGCTCTTGATAATACATTTAAAGTACAAATAGTAGTTCTATAAAACACCCAAGGAGTTCATTTTTTAAATGAATGAAATGATGTGGAAAGATGACATTTTAGAGCTATTTTCCCCACTTGTTGACTTACAGCACTTCTACTCTCTGAGTGTTTTTAGACAAACGCTGTTATTGGGAAGAAAGAGACCATGTTTAACATAAATACTACCTTCTTTATTTAACATAGCACTGCCAAATACTATTATCATGACAAAATCAGTTATCCCTTGGGCTCTAAAACTCTTTAGATCAAGATATACTGAAGGGTTGTCCCATTTTATAAAAATCATATAACTAATATAAAGCATATAACTAATATAAAGAGAATATAATGATTAGAAAGCTGGAGATAAATTCTGTTCCTAGATCCATCAGCAATGACCTCAGTCCCCCTTTCAGTCCTTTGTGCCTTTAAGACAGAGTACATTCAATTGAAACTTTCTTCCCACCTTTTCATAAGGAAACCATTGAGTAGTACTGACCTAACACCCCCAAAATACACTGAGCTTCCTAAAAACAAATATATCAAAATACAAGTATAAAGTAATAATCAAAGATCATTCTAGAGTGTCTTTTCCCATAATAGCCACATCTATTTTATTTATATTTCCAAAAAATTAGATACAAAGATAGCAAATAAAAATTCCATCAAAAGTCATTTATATATAGTTCGTATTTAGAACATAAGCTCTCATGGTCAAGAACATAAACAGTGGGTAGAAATGTATACGCAATGTAGGTGTTTAGTAAAACAAACCATAATATCACTTATGGGCACAGAACTAACCAGAGGTGAGAAGAGCTTATGAATTAAGGAATAATTCTGGCATAAAATAAACCTAACATTTTGGAGAAGCAGAAGAACAGAGCAAAGGGGTATCTCACTCATTTGACTACAGAAAACATGACAATGTTTTCCCTCAGATTTCATACAATACATCACAGGTCATAGTTTTGTGGAAATTTCCTATTGGTAGTCATTCTGAAAAATCAACAAAATACCTGAAGAAGAGCACTCATTTGCCACTTCCTCTTGGCTCATTATAAGAACATTCTTTCAGCATCTTGACAGTAAACAGCAAACAGGGTAACACAACCCAAGAGAGTTCATGCCTAGAAGAAAACCCCAACATTTTATTGAAATGATGTCATTGCAAAGGAAACTCAGCTGAACTGACACACATACTTTTTATACCACTTGGCAGATAGAACACTGAACAACTGGGTTCTAACTCTGACTTAGCCACAGATCTTCCTTGGAGCTACACAGCAAAATCAAAAGCCCTAATGTCATTCCTCTAACTTCATCTCTAAATAACGGAGAAGTAATTTTGAAGGCGTGGCTTGAGTTTCTTGTTTTGTTTTGTTTTGTTTTTACAAATGCTAGACTCTACTATTAACAGCCAGAATGGGGACTTAGCAATATGATCAGGTGTAATACACTTATGCATACCCCTGACCTCCACATATTTAGACTGGACCCCCCACACCCTTCATCATGTCCCCTCAACACCACCATGTATCACATAAATGCTGGCACAGCATTCTCTTCCTTTAGGGAGATTACTTTTCTGGTGGAAAGCTCATTATCTTAGATTCTACAATTAAATATCATCCTGGGTCCCTGCCAGGGATTAAATAACTATTAATTTGTGTGAGGATAGCTCCTTTTCGTAATGCCCATTCTACCACTTGATGCCAAGATGTGATGAAGAAGTCACATTCTTTCTGAATATAAACATAAACTTGCAGAGATCTGATAGATCCTTTAGAAGATAAAGCAACTCTCGGCATTATTATGAATGATTTGCCTTAGGAAAGACTCTGCCAAAACAAAGAAAATCTCAAAACTCAAAAACCAAACCAGAGAGTAGTGCAGTCTTTTTGCATTTATATCCTATCAATGTTGGATCATGATCGCTGTAGAAATAAAACAAAAACAAAAACCCCAAACTCCTACCACTGCAGGTCAAGGTAGCATGTGACTATCCACCCAGCCTGCACACATATGTTCCTCCCTTTCCCCAAAAAGCATTTATAGTAAATATCCATCCAGACAAAAGCCTCCGCTTTCCGACTGCTTTTGTGTGCTGTGGCAGGAAGCAGTTGTCGCCTGCGTTAGTGAAAAATAACAACTGCAGACACTGAGACACATGCCACAATGTTCCCGTGGAAATCAAACTCTGAGAAATTTTTTAAATGTTTTCAACACATCAGCATGAAGCATCGACCTAGTTGGAATCACTTAGATCTAAAGCAAATGCACTGATTGTTTTCACAGCAGGCTTTTCTTCTTGGAGCTGAAACAGGCGCACTGGTGAGGGTTGTGCGGAAAGGTTTGCAGCCCCCTGCCTCGGTCTGCTATAGCCAGTGACACGATCAATACCAGGGTGAGCAGCAGAGGAAGCTCAGGGAAGATTATGAAGATGAGGTGAGTGACAGAATTACCTTACACGGTTTGTTCTTTCTCTCACCTTGAATCTCATCTCCCTCAGACACAGACCAAAAAATGAGAGGTGGCGAGGGGGTGAAGGGCATTAGACACTGTGCGTGCTGAGAGCCTGGCGTTGTGTCCCTCTACATGTTAGAATCATCAGGAAAGAGCAAGTCCCATAGCAAATCAGGGGTGGCATCACTGATTAACAAGAAGACAAATGCCAGCACCTCCTGCAGGGCCTGGAGTGTAGCAGGTACACAATAATTGGCAGCCATGATTTTTGGTGTATTTTTATTACTATTACTGTTAACTACACCTCCTGTTTTACTTCTGCACCCCAGACAAGTATCATTCATGTAAATAATATACACAAAGTACCAGCTTTCCAGGTTAAAATTGCGGGATGAAATGTGGACAGGAGCAAATGTGCCTTAGATGCCCATCATTTATTTATTGAGGACACAGGCCCCACTAGTCCATAGTCTTCTTCCCATGACCTAGAGGCCCAAAGACTCCTAAGCTATTGGGTCGGCCCATACACTGAGTTTGTCCTGGAGCTTAACAGGGCCACCAAGTTTAGCATGAGCCAATTCTCATTCCAAATGGGCAGGATACAAGAAAACACTTAGGAAACTCCACTGTTGCATATTAATCTGATTGAACTGCCCTGACCAATTGAGCAGAGTTGACAATGACTAATAATCATATTGATGATAATATGTCCAAGCTATAACTGCTTACACAGCCTAATAGTCCAACCCTAAAGCTTGAGATTTCTTTGTATGTCTCTACAGTTTAGATAGTATATAAGAAATGTTGAAGACATTCAAAGCTATTATTTGTCCTCTATTTACTTAAGCCACTGGATGAACATGGAGAACAGTAGTATGTTCTAGGCCTGCCCAATTATTACCAAAACATCTAAATCAATTGTTATCTGAGATATTTTATTCTGATTCTTCTTTAAAAATTAGACAAATCTTTATATGTGTGTGTGTATATATATATATATAAAATTTTAAACGGAATGTCTATTTGTTGAAAAGTTAAGAAACATGACTATCACTGAAATATCACTCCCTAAAGTTTGGTTACTTACTTATTTATGGTATGTTTTTTCTCTACATACTTTTTTGTTACATAATTAGTACCTTACTACATAAAATAATTTTTTTCACCTAGCATTACACATTCAACTTCTTTGAAAACAATTTTAATGTCACTTGATCTATGTATTTATCTTAATATATTTAATCACTCTCCTCTTTTAAGATATCAGATGTTTCCTGCTTGTGTGTGAGTGCTAATATAATTTCTTCATCCAGATCTGAGTATTTCCTAAAAGTAGAATTACTAGGTAAAAGGCCAAAACAAGTCAGTTTTTATGGTTTATTGTTTTTATGGTTTACCAAAAATCCTCTTTTTATTACTGAAATTGTAGCATTTAGAAAATGGAGAAAAAAAGAAAAAAAATTTCAAAACATCTCACAAGTAAGAGATTAACATTTTAGTATATCCTTGATGATTTTTTGTGTGCATGCATAAATATTCAGATATACATTCATATTTTTGTATTATTTATAAAACTGAAGCATGTAGTACATACTGTGTTACAACCTGCTTTTTCTGGTTAACTAAATAACTGAGATTCTTTCCATGTCATTAAGTTTTTCAAATTCAAAAACAAAGATCTCTAAATCGTGTTGGTTTTCCACAAGTGTTCTATCACGGATTATGAATGAAGTTGAATATGATTAACAGCAACTCAGTGAATTTTGAAATGCTATCTCTTTTCATTACCTAACATTAAAACCTGATCTTTAATGAACCCTTCATATCTCTAAGCTGAGGAGGATGTTTTGGCGAGAGAGGGAGGAAAAGGAAGAGAGGGAAGGGCAAGGCAGGGAAGGGGGAGATACACATGAGGAAATATTTTAAAATTCCCCTTGAAGAGATAATAACCTATAGTGCTTTAAAAAAATTGATCAAATCAATAAATTACCAAAGCAGCAGGTCAGTAATCAGTTTACTGCCCTAAAATATTTTTCTCCCTGATATTTGTAAATCACAAACCTCAAGGCAAAACCAGTACTATAATAAGAAACGGGTTTCAAAACCCCTGGATTTTGCCTAAAGAAGAACAGAGTAAAACCAGTAATTTTTTTTCTAGAATTCATTATCTATCAAAGAAAATGCATAAACTCTAGAAGTACTGCTTGTTCTTTGCTACACAGTATACATTCAAAGGCAAAGGTAAAATTAAACAACTTATTCAATGTCCTCCTGTTTGTTATTATTTCTAAGTGTTTTCAGATAAAATGGTAAGGAATAACATTTGACATGATTCTGTTATTTTTACCATAGATTGGTTTTAAACTTCATTGTGACTTTATAATCACCATCACACCAACAGCACCATCACTGTCACATCACCGTGATATCCCCATCACATCACCATCACCATCACTATCACAATTACTATCACCATCACCATCACCATCACCGTCACCGTCACCATCACCGTCACCATCACTGTCACCGTCACCATCACATCACCATCACATCACCATCACCATCACTATCACCATTACTATCACCATCACCGTCACCGTCACCATCACCATCACCATCGCCATCACATCACCATCACCATCACCATACATCACCGTCACCGTCACCATCACATCACCATCACATCACCATCACATCACCATCACCATCACATCACCATGACCATCACATCACCATCACTATCACCATCACCATCACTATCACATCACCATCACTATCACCATCACTATCACATCACCATCACCATCACTATCACCATTACATCACCATCACCATCACCATCACATCACCATCACCATCACCATTACTATCACATCACCATCACTATCACCATCACTATTACTATCACATCACCATCACCATCACTATCACATCACCATCACTATCACCATCACCATCACTATTACTATCACCATCACCATCACTATCATCATCATCATCACTATCACCATTACATCACCATCACCATTACTGTCACATCACCATCACCATTACTATCACCATCACCATCACCATCACTATCACCATCACCATCACCATTACTATCACATCACCATCACCATCACTATCACCATCACCATCACTATCACCATTACATCACCATCACCATCACTATCACCATCACCATTACTATCACATCACCATCACTATCACTATCACCATCACTATCACCATTACATCACCATCACCATCACCATCACTATCACCATCCCCATCATGTCATAGCACCATCAACCTGACATCACCATCATTATCACCGTCACCATCACATCATCATCACCATCACTATCACCATAACCATTACATCACTGTCACTATCACCATCACTATCACTATCACCATCACTATCACCATCACCATTACATCACTATCATTATCACCATCACCATCACCATCACCATCATGTCATATCACCATCAACCTTACATCACCATCACCATCACCATCACATCACCATCACCATCACATCATCATCACCATTGACATCACCTCACTATCATCATCACCATCACCATCACATCACCATCACCATCACGTCATATCACCATCAACCTTACATCACCATCACCATCACCATTACATCACCATCACTATCACTATCACC